CTTCATGTCAGCAGAGAATGTTAACCAGAGATGGCGCAAAGAGTTACTCTCCTGAAGCTTAGCATCAGTCATGTGGATGAAGGTAGAAAGAGTCTCTCAGATGATTAGCATATATACCAAGTTGAGAACTGATGTCATCGGGAAGGTTGTTAATGAAAATTAAAAACATAGTGGAATCCAGGATAGAGATAATTGGGGGGGGATAAAACAGAATTTTATTTACATCAAAAAGAATGGCCACATGATTCAAAAGATAATTATATACAATGAAAATATGTGAGTATGGGACCCACCCCACATCCTAACTGTTGGAAGAAAAGCAAATCAACTGGGTGAAAATATAGTGGTTGGTTGATTTTGTTTTGTGGCATATCAACCTCTATGGAAAATATAGTGGGGACATGTAGAAGAAAAAATTAAGGTGAAATGAAAACAAAATGTTCCCACAGATACAGAGAGCACTAATGCCTGATGTCACCTAATGGGGAAAGGGGAAATGACAAATGAAAATGTAGAGGATTTAATAAAAAAAAAAACAGAAAAAAAAAAAACACAAACAAAAAAAAAAAAAACACAAACAAAAAAAAGGGATGATGACCATTTACTCACTAGTTAAATTAATTAATTTCAAAGAACTTAAAGAGAATTTCAATGATTTTGACCTAACTGAATTGGGTGGGTATTTTTCCTTGGAAGAACAGATCCTTCAACTAGATGCCGCTCAAAGTTAGCACCATTCACACAAAAGATATCCACCTCTCAGCAAAGTCCTTTAAAGAAAGCCCCTCTCTTTCTACCCTGATCTTAATCTTCAACTAGTGCTTGAAGACCACAACCAGATGATGGGAAGAAAGAAGCAATTCATCCTCTTTGTCCAGATCACCATGTATATCATGGTTAGCAAGTACAGAAGCATATAGTGCTTCTTCCTGTCTGACAATGAGCTCACATTGCTACAAACAGAGCTGATTTCAATGACAAAGATTTGTCCATGAAGCATGCAGACCATGTATCTTTCAATATGTTCATGCAATGGATATACAACCATGCAGTAAAAGAAGGCATGCTCAATGGACTACATTTCATCACAACAGATGCACTTTGGCAAAATGGCCAGTCCTTCTGCAAAAGGACTTTGCTGACACAGAGCACATTCCATATCATCAGCCAGATGAGTGATGCCTTATGCTGCATCATACCCAGGCCACTCATATTGTCCATGTTCACTATACCTGCTTCTTATTGACCAGATTGAGTCTGGTGATAAATTCACAAAAGCATTTTCTTTTTACATTGAAAGGAATGTTAACAATCTTCCTAACTCCCTCATGGTCTAAATCAAGATAAAGGATGGCAATCCAATCACCCACTAAAATTACCCATTTTGACAATATCACAAACTGGTTGATCTGATGAAAAAAAGGCTTCTTGCTACCTACTGTCATTGGGTTCATAAACCCCAAAGAGGCAGAATCTACCATGCACAATCTGCCTGCTGGATCCAAGAAGATCCCAAAGTCATACCCAAAGAATGGCTTACTAGCCAAGAAAAACCCCTTTAAATGGTTATGAAAGAATGCCAAGAAGTGGTCAAACCTCCTCATCAGAATACTTTCACAGTTGCTCATGATTAGGTGGCTTTCTTAAATAGAACATATAGAACACCAAGGCATTTGAGATCACAAATGAATTGAGCCATTTCTGAATTACCTCAATCTAAATCATTCAAAGCTGCTAACCAGCAAGCCATGATGAAAGCTTACTGGCATTGTGCAACAGGACATCAATGCCCTGTCCCATTTTAGTCGTAATGGAGCTGCCTAGAGAAAGACTGCCAATGTCCCCCAGGAAAGTTTTACTGCCTTAGACAGAGATGGGTGAAAAAAAAAAAAAAAAAAACAGATCCTCTCAGAACAAAACTGTTTCAGTTTCCTACAAGCTTCTTCTATCATGGCCAGTATTCTATCAGTATTTTCTGCGCTTGAGTAAAATTCCTATGTTCTAAAAGGAATGATTGATACCCAATCACCACCCTCCTCAAATTTAGACAAATCCTACAGATGCATGCTGGGATTTCTTCCTAAGTAATAAAAATGGACAATTCATGGTCTTATCTTCACATTTTTGTTCTTTCTTGCTTTGAACTCCCCTTTGTAGGAGAAACCAGCAATTAATCTGACATGCATCTACAAAGAGCTTCACAATCAAAAACCTTTTTGCCTTTAAAGCACACTTTACTCATTCAGATTTTCTCAAAAGCCATAATTGCTTAGTTTTGTATCCATAAACACAAAAGATGCAGATTTAAATTCTTCCAGAGGCTTCATTTTCTTTAGTTCAGGCCCGAAGATGAAATAAAATACTGTATAAAATAACAGATCATCTACTCAAACGTGGGTATCAATTAAAAATAATCTTTAAAATAATAATAATGTCAGATGACAATTACAATAATTGGTTATTTAACAAAAGAAAAGAAAATTCATTTCCTTCAGAGTTCAGAATCTGAGTAAAGTACACACCAAAAAAAAAAAAAAAAAAAACTGATTCTTTTCCAATTTTCAAAAAATTCAGTATTTCATATTCAATCAAAACATGCAATTTTCTAGTACAGACATCTATTGTCAGGAGTTTTCTTAGTCTTACTCTTAAACACATTAGGCAGGGTCATAAAGGTACTATATGTGATGTGGCTGTTGTAGCAGTGGTGTTTTTAGTCTGACGGAACCCAATCCCTCTTCAGGTTTTAAATTCAGAGTTTTTTTTCTCCTAGACTGATTACCACCTCAAGACAAGAGAGTTCGATCTGCCCTGATAACCCATAGCTGGACGGAGATGGATTCACACCTTTTCTGAGGACATTTATGTCAAGTGAACAAAACAGAATCGACCGGAATTTGAACGACTCACGGATTTCCCATTGCGCGCAGATAAAGATTGCTATTGCATTATCCACTAGACATGTACATTTAAAAAAAAAAAAAAAATTTAAATCCTGTTTCTTTCCAACGGATTTTATGGAAAATTGTTGCTATTTTCTTAACAGGTGTACTGTAGAGACTTGTACTTTTCCTCTCACCAGTTACTAATCAACCACGCTACGTATTTTTCTTTAAAGAAGAGTTAGATTTAAAAAAAATTGTAGTCAGGTCTTCATAGCAGTTAAATGTAGGAGACTTTGACTTTCTGTTATTCAACAAAATTGTACTTTATTTAATCGTTTCTTCAGAAAAAATTCATTTAAAAATGCTGTTTGTTTATCAAGGAGTTGAGTTTCTTGAGATTGATTTATGTTGACATTTATGTTGAATAGTAATTAATACGAGTAGTGAACAAAAATTTTAAATCCGCTAAATTCTAAAAGGTAATAATAAATAAATGTTTTCTTTTTATCAGTTTTCCTATAAAACTTCAGTTTAAAAAAATAAAAATATGAATTACGTACAAAGGAAAAGCGGAGGAAATGAAAAGTTCAGTTTTTAAAAAAATAAACGAATTTCTTTTTTTTTTTTTTTAATTTGTCCCGTATTGTAATGTCATTTATTCGGTCTTAAACAAAAACTCCACTTAAAGTTCAAGAAGATTTTTTTCCCTCCACACATGTCAAAATAATATTTAATATAATATGAGAATGGGGTGATCCGAATTTGCTATCAATTCATTTCCGTAACATTTTACTTTTACATTACCGATTTATCCAAATAAGGAACCAAACTGATTTTTTTATATATATATTTTTTAAATTCAAAAATTTCCGAAGTATTTTCCCATCTAAATGCTTAAAAAAAAAAAAAGTCTTTATGGGATTTGATAGGTATTTCAAAAAGCAGCTCACTCACACGACTAAGTCTTCTGAGTTATGGAGATTATTTCCAAATTTTAAAAAAAGAGAAAACGATTATTTATCCAAGATACAAAGAAATAATGTGAAAAATTGTAGAATAGATAAATTAAATAAAATGTAATATGAATGATGAATTGATAATAAAGACACAAAGAGAAAAACTTCCTTTTCTCTTTTAGTTTATTTTTGTTGTGTCATAAAAAAAAAAAAAATAACGCTCCAACAGGTTTTCGTTTTTAAACGAAATTGAAATGTAACAAGTTTTTGTTTTTTTTAATTTCTCCCGCCCTTTGAAGGCATATAATTAAAAAATACCTTCCAAGTAAAATTAATAAAGACTTCTTTAAATTCAGATTGGGGAAATAAAACAAGCAAGTGGCATATGATATTGTTTATGCAAATTAACAAAGGCTCCTAATTGAAAAAAAAAAAAAAAAAAAATTATGAAAATTTTATTTTTAAAACAAAAACTGTATGTTTGTTTTATTTTTCTTAATAAATTAACGAAAAAAATTAAAATTCGTTCAGCAAAAAATAATTAAATTGCATTATTTTCAACAGTTTCTAATTTCTATAAAGAATTTATTTAAATATTTTTTATTATTTAAAAAATATTAACAGAAGTCTGCAGCTCAATACAGTCACACACAAAAAAAAAAAGATGGTTTTCCTTCTAAAAACATTCTTAATTTTATTATTTCTATTTTATGTAAAAAAAAACAAAAAAAAACGTATTTTTTTTTATAAAAACAAAGGCTTAATTCAGATTTTCAATTGAACAAAAATTGGTTTCCTTATTTGATTTCTAGTCTCTAACCAAGAAGAAAAAAATAGTTTTATAAGCAATATTTCTAAAAATAAATAAATAAATGACGACCTGGTTCGATATAGGCCATAAGCAAGCTCAAGCACAATAAACAACGATCTCTGAACGAGGGGGATCAGTTTGTAATTCTAATGTCTTATAAATTGACCCCCCATTTTCCGACCACTCCGCATGGCCATCGCCTTCTTCATTGAAGTTAGTAAACATTGCAGACACAAACAAGGAGACAACGGCGTGTTGTTTCGGGTCGAGTAAACAAATGACCCCAGAGGTGCTCCCAGGTGAGAGCAAAACATTTCCAAAATATCAACTAAGAAGCTTAGTACTTACAGCAGTTGTAACATTGGTCAGAGAAGACAATGGCAGATCGGAAGAAGCGCTTCGTCGATTCCGCTTTCTGTCAAAGTCGTCGCTCTCCATCTTCTTACCGTCTGCCAAGTCAGCCATCAACCGATTCGGTTCTCTGTCCGGGTCCACTTCAAATACATGCATACCTTTTTCCTGGTGGAATAATCCTGACTCTGAAGGTGACAAATGTAGGGTTTTGGCTGGAGATCCATAACGGAGGGCAAATACTGTTGGGAAATACGGTAAAACAACGTAAAATATCAAAATACAAGGCAGCGAAGACCACCTGTACACTAACATCTTCGCCATCTTGATTGGCGAATCACGCACTCACATGAGATATCCCTTCGCCCCCCTTTCTTGTCTCATTAAATAGTTCCTTGTCGTCAGCCGCAAAAACTGATTTATTTCACCTTCGTTATTGAATATTATTATTGTTAACGTCAACACCTAAAATTATTTTTATTCAAAACAAAACTAATTATTAATGATGAAAGTTATTTTACCTTGCCAACGATGACTACGTAGTTTGTTGTTTTGTTTGGGAATGACTCCAGTATGATTCGAACCCTGACATGAAACTCGTCAATCACTTTGTTAATATTTTCAAAGATAAATAAACATGCATTGTCTTTTTTTTAATATGATTTTCTTCAGTTATATTTATTTTTGCTATTATATGCTGTATTTATCTTATCTTCCTTTCGCTTATCGATGATTGATTAAAATAAAATTTATAAAAATCTTTTCGACTTAGATTTTTGTTTGCTGTTTTTATTTTATTTTTGTCAGTCTCATCGTAAAAGATAAGTAAAAAAAATGAGTCATTTTCTTTTTCATATTTTAACGAAAATAAACTAATAAATGCTGTGTAGCCATTAGGAAAAAATACATATTATTCCTGTTTTGTAGAAATTTATCAACATAGAGCTTCATTTTCATAAGATTCATAATGTCCTTCCTTAACAAAACAAAGATCTGTAGTGTTGTTAGTTACTGTTAAAAATTTTAACAATTGAATAACACTATTATTCTTGTTTTAATTTTTTATTTAATTTTTTTAACGTTGTGTTTCTCAGTTTATTTTTAATTGATCAAATCAAGGAAAAAACTAGAATTTCGAAATCTGAGTTTGAAAGATAACTCAACGTTCTCCAACTGGCGCAACACAATCTTGTAACTTCTTGTTTATTCATTTTTTAAAGACGCACCAAAAATATTACATTTCCACCGCATTTCCAGTAAAAAAAATAGAATTGAAAATCAATATTTTAGTTGTTTTTTTTTTATTTAAGAGGCTACAGAATCTACAAAATTAATGGTGCAGCCGCTACACAGTCTTAACTTTATTAAACGGCCACATTTTGTTGATCAAGGTAAAAGAAAACAGAATTTAACTACCTTGCGAAACTGAAGGTACAACATTACAATACATAAAAAATGAGTGCGATTTATCAATTCTTGTATGGTTATCATCGAAAAAGTGGAATCAACGTGAGTCTGTGTTTTGACCAAAGTTGAATTTCGAAATCGTTTTTTTAAATAAACTAAAGTAAACTAAACAGTAAACAGTGAAACACTCATGTCGTTAAGCAAGGCATGAGTCAACCTCACCCTGAAATACACCCTACATCTCTACAAAGTTTGATTCTGTGCGTAAGCTGCAAGTAGCTAAAATGATGCATTGTAGTCAAATTATTGAATTATGATATCCTTAAAATGCGTTAACTTAAAAATGAATAAAAAAACATTCTGGTGATTTGCTGCTGAATGTTAAATAGCTTGGGATCTGTATTCGTGCTTAGTTTAACTAAAGAAAAACATTTCAAGGGAGATAACTATTAAATCTTAATTACAGAGTACTATCCCTTATTTATTTATTTTGCATATATTTATTTCCTAATAAATGAGAAAAAGTGAAAATAATTCTGTATTGCGAGTTTCGTCCACCAGAAAGACTTAATAATACTTATTTATTTGAATATCAGAATAAAAAATGGGTATCGTTATCTGCGAGCGAGAGAATTCTTCAGTGATATTGCTTTCCCTTCTTCTCTCCGAGAGAGGGTGACCCAGCAGAGGGTCACAAAATTGTCACTTATGTACTAAAAACAAGAGGTAGACCTGAATGGGGGTTTGTTAATTTGTCAAAATTTAAATTTAAAACAAAATAAAATTTGAGCAATTACAATGTGGACTGAAAATCATGTCACCTCCTACCAAAAAGTTGTCGTAGTTAGCTCCTCCTCAGCTCTTTAACACTTCACCAGGGGTCTCTCTCCCCTAGCTATAAATACTGGCTGACCCTTCGCCTCGATCTCTTTTTTCCTCAGGTCTTTTGCCTTATACCACCTCGCAGATGTGAGCTCTCACAGATACAGTGTTTCCCAAATTATGAGAACACGCTAAGAACAATACACGTACGTACGAACACTCACCACAACACACACACACACGTACACACACACACATAATATTCACCACACGCACTCCATGTAACTGTACATGTACTTGTAACCTTTAACTTGTTGTTAATGCATTTATCAGTCTTGTTTGTTTCCTTTGTCTTCTTTGGACTTAATTAAAGTCCAACTTTCTCATGTAGTTGGACCGGCTAGCAGGAAATTTTAACTCACGTGTGTTCTTCTACAATACATACTCACCACTGCAACGGTCCGCTACAAACTAATGAGAACAACAGAAAAGCAAGTAATACAGCAATACAAAAGGCACATGTACTGGATTCAGTATATTCACTTTCATTGACGCTGTCACACATCGAGGTCTGTATGAATACCATCATTTTCGTGGCACCAAATGATGCGGCGCCATGTCCTGTGTGATATTTTACGAAGCTGTGCTTTGTTAATTGTTGCAAAAGCTCTCCGAACGACGACACGATGGGTATTCGATCTGATATCGTCCATACACTTGCAAGCAGTCTCTCTTCCAAACTGTAAGAGCTCATGTCAACCATCTGAAAGAGAAAATTATATTAGGTAGGGATATTCTGACCACCCTGTAGTTTCGACAATGCAATTTATATTTTTAAAACAAAGATTTTGCATATAAAGGAGTGCCGTTAAGCTATCTTTGCATACATTATCTTTATATTCGAAATATATGGTTTGTGGCAAAAGAAATAGAATTGTTGGAAAGGTTGATAAAAAAGTTCACAATATTCCAACTCACAGTTTTTCGTACTGACCAGTTTTGTGGTTGTTAACAAATTGTTTGGTGTGTAATCATCAGATTGTTTGAAAAGGGAATAATAATAGTTATGTTGCGTAGATTAGGTTTTCATAAAGAAGGGATCACAACCTACTAGTGGCGTCGCGTAAAAAATTCAGTGAGATTACTGGCTCGCAACGTGATAATTCAAAAACTTCACGTGAGGAAGTTAAATTGCGCCAAAACTTATTCGAGCCGATCCTGACATCTAAAACCTTAAGGAAGATTTCCAACTGACCAAATCAGTCAGTCCAGCGAACACAGAGAAGCGCTAAAAATCTAATCCGCGTAACTTGCGATTATAATTTTCCCGCGCGAAAAAACTGACTCACCCACAAACTCGACTCGAAGATTACTCTGTGAATACAAAGAACTTCAACTCGCAAGACTTTACTTATCCAAAGTGAATTATTAATACTCACTACAATTTAAGTAAATACTATTATTGAACATATTTCATACTTACAGTTAAGGGTAGACTACTTCTAAATTACTCAGTTCTAAAAAGTACAAAAAACAACACGAACATAATAACGGTGTTTAAACACTAATTACGAATTCTTATAGACTGTAATACAAATACACCAAGACACAAAAAAAAAACAAACAAAAATCTTCATCCACTAACAAACGTAACAACACAATAATATCTTGTAATAATATTTTGCATATAATATTTGTATTGTATATAAATGCATTTGTTTGTTTGAATTGCATACGTGTTTTGCCTTGTTTTATATTAAGTATTATTTATTGTTGTGGATGCCAAAGAAGATCACGCAACCTGACAAAAATTCCTTCTGATATATTCTAACACCATAGCAAAAAAATCTTAGTTCATTCTGCGCATCCCCAACAAGATTACGTGTACAGTTAAGAATTTTGTTTGATTATTTTAGCTTCTGGATCATTATTTTAAACATAGTAGCAGCAGCAGCCATAAATAAACGTTGCATCAGCAGCAGCGTTCGAATATAAAAACACGTGAACCCTAAAGTAACTCTCTCTCTCTCTCTCTCTCTCTCTCTTCTGAGTTTTCCTCTTTCGAACTATGTGACATGAACTTTCCCTGCTGAAGCTAGGAGGGCTGTGAACGCTTCGCAATAAAACACACCAACACAGTAAGTCCCACTCAGATATATTCATGAACATTTCGCTGTGCTTTTTATTTACTTCTATCAAAACAAACTCTTGTTTTAAACTTTCCTTTTGTTAATTTTGTTTTAATAAATGTTATCTTGAATTGCAAATCAATTGGTCTGTTATTTTGTGCATGTACTCCTTTTCACCACCATTATTTCATGAACTACAAACCATAAGAAACCTTACATATTTAATTACTGAAGTAACTAATCACTAAATAGGTTACTGCATTTTTTTTCCTGAAAAATATTTTGCAACTGTACATTTATTTTAAAGAAATCCAAGAATTTAATAATAACATTGTTGAAATATTTCATCATATTAAAATAATGACATGATCTCTATTTTAATTTTTAATTACGTTTTTGTGGAACAGCTACAGCCAGGGCCGGTGTAAAATTTCTAATGTTTTAAAAAGAAGTAAAAAAAAATAATAAAAAAATACTATGATCCTTTTGGTTAACTGTAAAGATTTTGACGATAAAACTATGTTTTCATTATATTTTGGAGCATGTTTTCATTGCGCTATGCTAATTTTTAGCGTTTTCGTAGAGGTACCCCGAATATAGATCATTCCATGAGTAAATCAACAATGTTTTGCAGTAATTTTTAACATTAACTTGAGATTTTTTTTTTTTAAAAAGTTAAAATATTTTAAGACATTCAACATTATGGATAAAAGATAGTCAATTTTATATAGTGTTTTTGTATGACTTAACATTCGAAACAAATTCACGAATTTATGAAAAAATAGAACCCAGAATGACATCAAAATCCGCGAAATTTTTTCAACTTTTTTATTTTCCAATGCTGTCTATTGCAAATTATTAATTCCATTAAGTTTGCGCATGTGCTAAAGATTAAAAATGTGCCTATTTATTCTCTATATAAATTCTATGCATGTCGCCGTCGTGGTTTTCTGTAAATTTAATTGTTTCATCTTTAGGTCATAGAAAACGGGTTACTTCTGTTTCAATATTGATAATTTGGGAGGTCCTGCTTTTCTCAAAGGAATCCTCTTTACTCTTTTGAATAAGCTCGATGACTTTCTACGGTGGACGCTTTTATTTTCTCTCTCTCTCTCTCACACACACACACACACACACACACACACACATTTACTCTCGAGAGTGAACGCTTTTACTTTCTAGCGTTACTCATTTTATTCTCTCAAGTCAAGTGTATTCATTTACTTCCTAAAGTAAACTCTTTATTCTCTGGAGTTAATTTTTTTATTTTATTTTTATTTTTTACTATTTCATTTACTTCATCGTGTTGAGTTTTTGCTATTCTGGAATGAACTAGTTTTGTTTCTTCGTTGGACTATTTTATTGTGCTTTTCTATGGTAAAAATATATTACACATGAGTTTTTTTTGTTTTTTATTATTATTTCGCCCAGACAAGGTGATAAAGCCAATAAAACGTAATGAGGTTACTGAGCACGAAGAAAACTGAGAAAACTATATTGAGGGGAGAAAAAATAAAAAGAACGGGATTCAAAGAGGCAAAAGACGACAATTGACATTGCATTTAAATTTTTGAAGATTATAGTCGACAAGAAGGCAATAAGATGAAAGAGAGAACTACACGCAAGAAGTGCGAGAGAAGAAACAGTAAAATGATGAAATCTAGCTGTCAATCTAGTATTACGCTTAAATTCATGAAATCGGTACCAAAGAGGAAAGCTTCTCAAGACAATTGCCATGGAAATATTTATAGAAAAGGCCGTTGCCACTTAATAATTTTTTAAACTATTTTACTGTGAAATCCTCTCAGTCACACGATGGTCTTCAGGTACCTTCAGACCACCGTGGTTACCATCTAGCTGACTCATCACTCGTTAACTCGTTGCTGGTTTGTCGCTGGTATCGTGATGATGAGCATTGTTCCACTCGATCTAGCTGGCGTTTGTCTCCTTCATGATCATTCACTCCTCTGCCACGTTGTGTTTTTGATCTTAGAGGGTGAGAACATCGCTGATGAAGTAAACTAAAATGAAGAACAGATTGACGACGAGGAGCTGCGCAAAAAAAAGAAGAATTATTTGGAATAAAGAATTAACTCGGATTAAAAATGTAATAACGATTTGGTTTATGTATGATTTGTTGTATGCAGCGGTTTTAACCCTTCCCACTTGTTATAATCAAATGACACTGGGATCCCCTTTTGGAGTTTACAGACTGTGTTAATAGTAATTTAAGTTTCAAAGTTCTTGTCTTCAGGGCTGGCGAAAGGTCTTGGTCAGGAGGTCTCGGCGAATGATGTGGATTCCAGTATCTGTAGTGTCCAAACCTCCAGATTATATGGAGTTCTGTGTCTGGTAGGTGTGGGGTTGACCAGGGTTTGGATTCCGTTATCTCCTACCCTTAGAATCAACCTTTTTGTAAAATTTGATATATTCAAAATATGTTTACTCGAGTACTTTTCCAAATTTTGGAGTTGTCCAATCCCCTTTTGAGAGTGATCAGTGGAATCAAGCTACCCCTTAACTCTAACTTCCTTCACTTTTCATCTAGCAACGTCGCTCCATATGGGCGGAGCTAATTTCTTTCTCTCCCTTCTCCCACCATCTCAGCATCCAACCTCAGCCCCATTTCCAAAGTCTGGTACAAATGTCTTTGTGAGAGAGACGAAAAGGAGGTTTCCAGTAATTAATCTTTCTTTATCAGCTTGTCTCACTCGTGCCAAAAATCCCAAATAATGTCAGCTATAAAACTTTTTGATGAATTTCACATAAATTAAAATATCCGAATCTGCCCCAATCATAGGCGTTAATCTTTAATCTTTTTGGTAGGGATATTTTTGATGGGTAGCCGACACGACCCCTCTACACAAATCAGATGTTTTCCTGACTCTTTGTCCAGAACAATTTCTTTGCCGATAAGGTATTGGAAACAACATATGTTTTTATTTTCCCAGGACCGACATCTCCGATGATACATTAATTGTCTCTTCCTTATCGACGTGAAGTAAGTGGGGACGGGTAGTCTTGGTTTTGCTCAATCTTACTGAATTCTGTCAGGTTAAATTTGGGTTCGATTCTCCTTGGAACTGTTCTTGATTTCATTTTTTTTTAAAAACATAATTTTTAACGCATTTCGTTTTTAATTTTCTTCTCAAATTTTCAATCCACTTTCCTAAGAATTTCAACATTTATCATCCAATTATAGTCTCTTTCCTCTTCCTTTTTCTTTCTTCTGATTAACTCCCTGATGTCCCAGTGCCACATCTGCGCCTTTCTCAACAGGATATTTTTTGCTCATCCAGATTAAATTTTTACTCTCTCGAGTGAGATCTTTTACTCCATCGAGTGAACTATTTTATTTTCCACAGTAATGTATTTTATTTCCTAAGTGAAATTTCTTACTCTCACAAGATATATCTTTTACTCTATCGAGTGAAGTCTTTTACTCTGTCGAGTGAAGTCTTTTACTATCTTAAGTGAAGTATTTTACTAGCTAGTATGCATTATTTTATTGCATTAAAACTTTCACATGGAAAAGACGAACAAATATACAAACATTTAATTGTTTAAAATAACAACAATGTATTTTGACAAAAATTACAATTTTAGGAAACATTGAGTGGGTGAGAGAGGGGAGAGAGAGAGAGTCTCTGTGTGCGCGCGTGTGTGTGTGTGTGTGTGTGTGTGTGTGTGTGTGTGTGTGTGTGTGTGTGTGTGTAAAATTCAGTCACTCAGAGGAAATAAGGGGACGAAGGCTTGTGTGTCAACACTACTACATCTTGGAGCCAAAAAAAAAGAAAGAGGAAGTATTTTCCCTTCTTTTATATTCCTAAATGAGCTCCACTTAGTGGCGCCTTGGCAGATCAAGTGGGGCTAATCTCCACACTCTTTAACTTTCTCGAATGAATTCTTTTACTTCATCAAGAGTATTCTTTCACTCTTATGAGCGAACTCTTTTACTCTTTCAAATGAAATCTTTTACTCTCACAAGTAAAATCTTTTACTCGTGCTGATTCTTTTACTCTATCGAGTGAAATTATTTTTATTTTTAAAGAGTGAATTATTTTACTCACTCAAATGTAATCTTTCACTCTATCGAGTGAATTCTTTTACTCTTAAGAGTAAAGTCTTTTAATCGCTTGTATAGATTCTTTCAATTAATTGAGTGAACTCTTTTACTTTCTCAGATCTACGCTATCGAGTGAAATCTCTTACTTTCACGAGTAAAGTCATTTACCCGCTTGCATGGATTATTTTGCTGTATATAATGATTTCTTAATTTATCGAATGAATTCTTTTACTTTCTCGAATGGAATCTTAGACTCGATTGAGTTAACTGTTTTACTCTTTCGCGTGATGTCTTTTACTCTGTGAAGTTGATTCTTATTTTCTTGAATTAATTCTTTTACTTTCTATGGCAAACATTTTCACTCGATTGAGTGAACTGTTTACTCTCGAGGGAGAAGTTTTTTTGTTTTTTTTCAGTGCCATTCTCTCGTAAAGCTATTATGTTAGTAACGGGAACCATAATTCCTGACCACTGACAATGCTTTTTGTTCTTATTTAGCCATCGCAAGTAGATTTTTTTACACTGCCTTTCTTGTGAGGATGCTTTTGCTTTCTCATGTGAACTTTGCGCTCTCACGAGTAAACGCTTTTACTTTCTTGAGTGAAATCTCAAGTGGACTTACTTTCTTAGTTGAAGTCTTCTTTTTGTTAATTTTTTTTTGTTTTTTGCTTTCTCGAGTGAAACATTTTATTCTTTTCTATTAACTCTTTTACTCTTGTACTATTCAATATACATAGATAAATAATATAGAAAAATACACTCATATATTTAGACGGATAAAATAAAAAATAACAGTGGCAAAAGCGGTATTGTGTGATAATATCAACAGATAATAAGAGATCTATGGAAGGAAGGTTTAATCTCCCATTTTCATTTCCCCCATTATTAGCATTTTTACATCCATAATATAATAACACCTTATTTCGCGGACGGGACGGGACGGTATAGCTGAAAGAAAAGGAATGACAAACATGCTTGATTCTTAGGGAGAGTTTTATGCCACCAAATCGTGCACAAAATTATACATACATATGTACATGTGCCCCACGCAGAGAAATTATAACATGTATGCAATAACAAGCAGAGTGAAATCAGGACGAAAAAAAGAGAGTTTGATGTATAATAATTCTCAACTGGAACTGGAGCTGCTGAATATTCATCTGTGTTTCTGGAGAAACTGTATTTAAGGTACCAAATTTGAGCGAATCGGATTTAACTGTTATGACGCTATCGAGTACATATTCCACAAACGAGAAACGACAGGTCCTGGGTTTTTCCAAACATGAAGACAGCAAGCCGGATATATTTTCTATATCTGGTGAAGATATATTTCCATAGGAAAACGGCGTTATAGGTTTCTAAACTGCACCATGTGTCTGGAGGGGGCAAATTTAGCCTCAGCTGACTGTAGAACTGACCAGTTGCATCACTCTATGAAGTGACGTCACTAAATGGCCGTCACTTGAACCACATGACTTCATCTCGACCAGAAGGAGAAAATCGCCTTTGTATCCCTACAGTAGCAAATTATTTTCCCTTAGATATGTAGTCACATTACACTACACGTCAGTATAAAAGCAGATTCTTCTTCTATGTACCGTCTCCGTTCAGAACGTGGATGATCATGGTTCTCCACAACTTTCTTTCCTTTCTAGTTCTTAGTAACATTTGTTTTTGTACCCTCAATCCCACCAACCGTTCCGCTATCGATTCACACAAGCTCATCAGGCAGGTTACCTACTACAACCCGTTCCTTTTACCTTCAAGCTGTTTTATGAGTGTCAAATTCTCCAAACCCTCCTTCTTCATTATGTGTCCAAAAAATTTCAGCTGTCTCTTTCTGATTCTGTGTAGAAATATCCTAGCGCTGAATTCATAAACACTTTATCAGGCGTCTTTATTCGCAGACCTGCACAGCGACAAACATTATATAAATAAACATTAAGGTAGGACTTAATTTCAGTGATTCGCTTCCATTCTCCTCAGCTTTTTTTTCACGCGCACGCACACTCACACACACACATAAACACTATATGCATTGAAACAATTTTGATATCAGTGGCACGAAAATATGGTCTCTATGTTTATCCTTTGTTTTCGTTGTATTTTCCTTCATATTTCAGCCGTGCTAGGGGTAGTTTACCCGTAACCATAATTGCCACAAAACCAAAACATTAACCTAAGAAATTAAATAGATGCATGGTGTCAAACTCGTTCAGAAATATCCAAACTGTCAGCTGTATACAACGCGGCCTTTTCAGATCAGTGATTAATTCCAGCGAATGAAGCCTGTAGATCTTAGCGAGGACCGTACTACGAAGAACCTTGTGCATTGGCACTACATAATCTCAAACAACCAACTACCAAATGGTAGAAACTACGTTAGTTGAGGACTGTCAACAACGGCAAAAACTAAAATGGATAGCACATGTAATTCAAAGAGAAAATAATAGCATAATCAAGATGTTGACATTCCACACCACTTCGAACAAAAGGTTAGGAAGGAAGACCCCATCAATAATGGAAAGAGCTATCACAGTCGATCTAAGAAACCTATTTTCATGAATAATTATTTTCATAGAAAGATTTTATAAATTTCAACCGAAAGCAGAATTAGCTGTTCATTTAATGAATGCTGAATGTTTCCTTATAAGGGAACGGCTAATATTACCATTACCATTAGAGATGAGAAGAACGGATACTATACTTTGATGATGGCCAGGGAGTGAAGATAAGCATAACTCCAGTAGTATTGGCTGCATGAATAAGAAAACGGTTAAACATTACCACCATCATTTTTTACTACCATCATTTTTCCATGCCATCATTTTTCCATACATTTACCATAGCATTACTTCCATTTTTTCATTTTGTACTTCTTTGAACATGTTTAAGACGAAATACATTATAATAAATAAGTATTTGGAAGTAATTAAGAATGCCCCACAAATATTTTTACTCACTACAGTGAACTCTTATTTTCTTGAGGGGAATCTTTTACTTTCTTAGACTTACAGCCACCATTACCTTGAATCACTGTTCCCATTGGATCACCGAAGTTAAGCAACGTCGAGCCTGGTCAGTATCTAGATGAGTGACTGTTTGGGAATACCAGGTGCTCTAAGCTAGAACGTGCAGGTGACATAATGGATAATGGCTCGAAATTATTAATTGGAGAGCCAAGTTCCAATTCCAGTTGAAAATACTGACACGAAAATACCTTTGGAGAAGCTATTAATTCACCCCCCCCCCAGCTATGGCTTAATTAGTGAGGCTTGTATCACTAAATCCTTAATACCTAAAAAGAAATTCTGACTGTAAATAACCTGTTAAAGGGTTGATAAGCCATAGAAAACGATTTGATCAAATTTTACTTTCCTCAGGGAAATGTTTTTGCTTTTTTTTTTTAATCATTTTACCCTATACAAGACGTAAATACCACCAGTACGCAGGGGTTACCGAGTATAGGGAGGATTGAGGAAAGGACAAAAGATTAAATAGATTCAAGAAGACAGAAGATAGCGATTGATGCTGTATTTAAATTTTAGAAATCTATGACTAAATCTATTTTCATACGTTTTAATTTCATATATCCACTTTAATATGTTTAGGTTTTATTTAACTTCTAATCACTTTTTAAAACAATAAACGTTGTCGAGGGATTCAAAAGTGTATACAGTAATAACGGTGTCAAGGGAATAACCATCTTTTTGACACTGTTTTTTGCAGGTTACATTTTCTTCATTTCTGAACCACTGACAATCAATTTCTTCTTGATTATTAACACGTTTCTGTAACAAAGTCAATTTAAATGCATTTCTATAGTAAAATCATAAGTAGCATCTTTCTTCTTCTACTTTTTGTGCTGCACCCTTCAGGACATGGACGATCATGGTTCTCCACAACTTCCTATCCTTCATAGATTTAAGTAATTTTGTCCCCTTACTATCCCTTCGATGCCATATTCCGCCATCCATTTATATAAGCATGTTAAGCAGGTTACTCACTTTTCCATTTCTCCCTCTTGACTTCAATATGTCCTGTTATAGAAATTTATATAAAAAAGAAATGTTATGAAATGCAATATGTCCTGTTATTGAAATTTATATAAAAAAAAAGAAATGTAAACTTATATAAAATAAAATAAATGTAAATAAAAATAATGATAAAATAGGCTAGGTTTGTTTATTACACTTTCTTTGGGGGGAGTGTTTAAAAGACATTTAAAAGAAGGTTACTAACATGTATTCTTTAAATAAGAAATTGTTAGAAGACAGACGATTAGTAAAAAATGGCTCGAATAAAATTTGATATGTAAAACTTTGTATATGTGAGGCTCAAACTGTTGTTGTAAAAATAGCGCCAAAATGAAGCCTAACGGGTTGTAAAAAAGGATACACGCATAAAATTTGTTTTACAAAAATTTGTACAAAAAAGGCTCAAGTTTTATAGTTTGAAAACCCATCAAATTAAATTTAGAGAACATGCGTGGTTTAAAAATATACATTTGGTGATTTTTTAAACCAATGGGTTAAGTAAATTAGGATCTCATAGTATCAAATTTCTGATTGAATTCACAGTCAATTTGTGGCTATTTAAGAAGTCTGGTTTCTCAAACAGACAGAAGGGTCCCACCATTCACAATGAAAGACGTCAGCTGGTTCTGAGAACTGAACGGAGATGAAAAAGAAAAAAACAGAAAGTTCAAAACAGTAGGGTATCGGTATTCATAAGGAATACATCGGCTGGTTCTATGATCTGAACAAAGGATAAACTAAAAGTTGCCGACTACCACGACAATAAAAAGAAAGAAGCTGAATGAAAAGAAAATAACAAACGAAAAAGAAAAGAAAGCAGAAACGAAACTTCTACAAATTTAGAAAGATAAACAATTATTTTCTATAGGAAAAGCTTGTCACAAAATTAGAGGTATTAACCCTGATTTTGAACTTTTTATGAAAATATAAGTCTTAGTTTGTAAAATAGAACTATTGTCTACCAGAAACTCGATGATGCCTGTGAATTTGCCACCTTCTCAAAATCGAAGTAAGCAAATACTTTGTTGATGATACTTATAATTGTTTTGTAAATTTTGTATTCTGTACGGCTGTTATTTTTATATCTTTTAATAAATTTACATTTCTTTCAAATTTCACACCAAAGTAAGTGCTTTGTGTTTCTTTGTTTCTATCATTCATAATACTCAGGATAAGATCTCTCTCTCTCTCTCTCTCTCTCTCTCTCTCTCTCTCTCTCTCTCTCTCTCAAATCCTCTTACTGTAGTCAACAATTTCTTCAAGCCCTCTTTCTTTATTATGAGTCCCAGAAATTTTAAGTATCTTTTTCTGATCCTAAGTGCAAAGGTCATTTACATTATATATATAAGTTTCATTACAGACGACTAACAAGGCACCGCGATTAAGCTTTCCTCTTGAGTATAAGTGTTTTCTTTTCTGGATATAAAGTGTGTAAGATTCTATATATCCAAGCATTTTCGGCTATTCTATTCGTCTTTATCAATGATGATTATGTTTTGTTTTTTTAAACTGAATCGCTAAATTTATATATATGTATATATTGTGATTGGAATGTTTCGTTTTTTTTTCTTGATTTTTTTTCTACACACGGCCTGCACAATAATGGCTAATAACTGATAATGGCTGATAGAATAGCTGAAAGCATGCGGATATATATGTATAACACGGTCGACTCGGCTCAATCCAGCGTTGTTCTCATGCTGGTCAGTACTGGCGCCGATCAACTGATGGTTATCTGTTGACCGCTTTGTTCCTTAATTGTGTTCTTTAATCACAGTGCAGTGAAGATCGAACTTTCGTCCGCACCTGGCACTGAATCGAGTTAGCGGAACCGTGCTATGAAAAAGGACAAGAATGCTTCCGCTGGTGAAAACTTAAATATCATAACAAATAATGAAGACAGTTGAGTTAATTTTCAATTGGTTTATGTAATCGTTGATACAACAAAATTAACCCTTCCCGTTCGACTCTCTGTCGTGACACTGTATCTTTTGTTTCTAAAAATCGGAGCGGGTTAAATATTCACATGAGATGTTAGGTCGGGCAACCTCGACGGCAGGTCACGCAAGGTTCAACAGCTCTTTTGTTTGCTGTTGATTCGTCTCAGCCTTCTCCAACAGCAGCTCCTATTGCCGGTTTCAACCGATCGTTCGGTTTATATGCATCTCGCCCAACTCTTACTGTCCCTCAAAGCTCATTACGTATTCTTCAATTAATTATTTTCTCCAACCCTGGAGATATGACATTGACCCTGTATTTCAAAACAATGAGCTTTGTTTCTACATTCCTCAACAATCGGTCGTATTAATTTTTCCATCAACAAACTTGTGTGTTTAAAAGTTATTTCAAATTGGCAATTTGTCGATTTCCAAATCTGACCCAATTCCACGTTCCATTGTTTACATTTTTGGTTTTACTTCAATTCCGTCCTCGGCCAACAAGGACCTTCAAATACCAACAGTCAACTTTTCAAAAATAAAATTATTTATTTCAAATTTTCCTATTGTTTTACATTCCCCTTTCAGGGACTCATAGCAATTCTTATGTGCGTTTCTGTTTATCAGAAAGAAAAAATATTTTTTCTTCGTTTCATATTTCAATTCCTGTTTCTAACTTTAACGTTTTCGTGTTCAACGTTTTCAACCCATCCAATGCTTCAATTCTATACGGGGTTTTCGCATGAACCCTTTTAATCCTAATTCCAAACCATCAGAGTCACGATAGTGTCACCTTCTTTTCAATTACTACCAGTGACCCTTTATAATGTCACATATGTAGTGAGTCCCAATAAAAATAAAATAAAATATAAAAATAAAATATATAAACAAAAATAAAAAGAATTCAAATTAAAGGTACTTGCGATTTCCTTTAAAACTCGCATCGATTTTTTCTCTCTCTAAACTTCTCTATATATACTTCTCTCTCAACTAACAAGATGGCAACCCTCAGATTAAAAGAGGATGAAGAAGAGGATGAAGAAGAAAAGACTAAACCTGACCAAAAAGGCCGAAAGTTTGCAAGGCCAGAAACTACTAATTTGTGACTAAAAACTAACAAAAATCATCGAGGCTCCACGCATAACTTCCATTATAAAAAAAAAAATGAAAAAGAAATGAATGCTAAAAAATAAAATTATTTTGACCAATCAAAAAAATTAAAACAAAGAGGCTTTTGATGTTAGCCGAAACCAAGGTTCGCACCAGAGTCTTGGAGTCTGGTCAAAAGGATATAAGCTCATACCACTGAGTTAGAAGAGAGAGGATGACAGGAGAGCACGGAACAAAAGGCTCTCCTATGGATCAACTAGCCATGCGTGAAGTAAAGAGATCACTTGCTAATGATATTTTCTGCCTTTCTGAGGACCGAAAAAAACACAGTAGATTAACACTGACCTATTTCTAAGATGACTATGACTACTATCAAGTATTGACTTTTAATCTCTCGAATACGGACTTTCCCCAAACTCTTACCAATATCCGCCTTATAAACGAACATTTTGTTACGCCGGATATCAAAGGACTCACTTTAAAGCAAATAAATAAAAATATATTATTTATTTTATACCCTTGAGTCAGTTCATTTTTATTCCAACGTAAATGGTAAATTTAGAATATCCTGGTACAAAAACAGTCATATATAGAACATTTGTATGTATGTATTACTTCAAACGTTATTTTAGTGGATATTTGAATAGACATCCTGTTTTTTAAACGATGTGAATTATTTCTACTAGCTTGTGCATTCGAGAGCCTTAATAAAGAAAATGTGCACTCCAGTAGGGTTCAAATCTGTGAACTTGTAAGGGAAACCAGCCAAACCGTTTCTATAGTCAAAATGTGCCTTTACCAATTCGGCCACGGAGTCCATGTTGATAGAGCAAGGTTTGAATTACCTATTTCAAATTCCATTGTTTACATTTTTGTTTTTACCATAACAAATCTTATGTGCATTTCTGTTTATCAGAAAGAAAAAAAAATGTTTTTCCTCGCTTTATATTTCAAAGGCACATTTTTGGAACTTCACAGAAACTGTATCATCTACCTTTAGTTTCGTACACAAAATATAAACAACAATAATTTTTGA